GACTTTTACACTGCATGTTTTATAAGAGACGAGAAATAATGCGATCATTTACGTAATCTATGGTAGTTTACCTAAGTCATCTCGATATTTTGACCAGGTTACACTGGCCGTGATCATGAGTAAATTAATGTAGTACCATCGTCTCTCTGCTTCCAATGCAAAAGTATTTTCTTTTACCCATTAATTGTCCCATATGTGGGACAATACAATACAATACAATACAACACAATAATTCAATACTATCTTCGACCCAATTTCATGACAATAAAATAAGCGAGTGTTAGGAAGGAAAATAAGTCCCGATTACATGTATAAGGACATCGTTATTCTCCTTCATCGGGAAAGGTTGGGGTGAAAGACCTTGTCGTCCTTAAAAAAGGAGACATTGCGTCGCCTTCAGTATTATCTGCGACCTCTAAACGTCCTTTGTACTGATCTTTTGTTCAGAATATGCACTAGCGAGCATTTTTTTTTAATCTTAAAAACAATATCTTCCTTTATGCAAATGAAAGCACAATTTAAAGAATAGAAAAATGTATATAATTATGAATATTCGAATACATTCACCGCTATAGTATCTCATAGAATAGTCGCAAATAGTAAATAATATGGTATGACTTTTTTTAGTTTTTAGTTAAACATTTTGAATATAAAAGGTACAGTGTAATTTTAGATGAAGATGTATTTTTTCACTATTTATTGTAATTAAATATTAGATGAATAAAAAAGATTCAGATCAGCGGCAAAAAAATTTGTGACCATCTGGTGGTAAAGTGTATCATTCTTCTTTTCAACCGACTTTAAAAAGAAGGAGGTTTAATTCAGTTATATTTTTTTATGTTTGTTACCTCATGACTCCGTCAGTTCTAAACTGATTTGGCAAATTCTTTTTTTATCTAAAAGAACATTGTTTTGTCACGTAACATTGAAGTCGGCTTTTTTGTGAGACACAATCTTTAATTATTCATGTGTTGTATGAGGTAATTTAAGAAACGTATTGTAGCTCCCGTACAAAAGATGGAAATACTTATAGTAAAATTATATGAAACCGCCTAACGTGCTGAATAGTAGCCTACCTACCGTCTTTACAATGTTAGACTTGTATTCTAGCAAGATAATAGGTTTTATGACATTTTGATGTGGACAATTTACATGTGCATTCATTTCAGTCAGTAATTTTCATGAATTTGTCAAAATATAGTATATTCTGTATCTGTTCACTATTTTGTAGACATTGACGCACTTAAATATTCATTAGGTAGTCTATTTTCGTAACTACCGAGAAAAATTTACAAATCTTTTCGTTTCAGGCGGACGTGGTCGTACCGTCAACCTATACGGTTCATTGAAAATTGTATATATACTTACAACATAATTTCAATTGTTTTTCTATACCAATGATGATATTGGCAAAAAAGTATACAGCCCATCTGATAGTAAATAGTTGACTGTTGTCTATGTTATATGTTCGTACTATATGGATGCAGTTTTTTTTTTTTTTTTATAATTTAAGTATATATATAAATCAATAGTTCCTCTCGATACTCTTACAAGAGTAATAGTAGAATTTAAAAATAATGTAGTGGAGCGCTGAAAATAAAATAAGTGGTCATGAAAATGTACCTATTTATTTTTCATATAATTATCTGTGTACAACTAAAAACAAACAAATTACCCCATCATATATCTACTGCAGTAATAAGCACTTTAAAATATAATTTTAAAACACTTAATGTAGGTAGGTACATACGTAGGTACTTTGTCTTTATTGCTTCAAGCATAAATTTAAGTTCAAAGACGCATACAGACAGGCTAATCTTAATAAGGACACTTGAATAGATGACCATTAGAAGCTTTATTTTTAATGACTTAAGTCCAGCTGTATACATATAAATGATAGGTATTTCAGTTATTAGTAACAGTAACATATATTTAGATTTTCTCATTTAATAAAATATTCCATCTGTTGATGTTTCGAAAAGATTGCACTAGCCATAATTAACCTTGATAATATCAGTTTACGTAGTAAATTCTATATATATATAAATTATATTGTTTCTATGTGACCCATTTCATACTCTTTTAAAGACATTCGTGACACCTTATGTTGCGTTTTGTTTTCATGTCGACTCTGCTCTAATTATCTTTATCTCATAGTGACAAGACTCAAGATTCAAAGAATGTATAAGTTTGAGTTTTATGTGTACTCTATCACTTAGCATGGTAGTTAACACCTCATGAACTCGGTCTAGTGCCAAAAAATTGCTGTAGTCAAATGACGCGAGTGTAGTAATGTTTATATTCGTTACTGACTATATTTGTTTTAGGAAATATGAATCTATTTAACTGTTTCTGCGGTCCGTTAAAATAAACACAACTGAAAGTGAAGTGAGAATAAATTTTCATGCGGTTTTCGGTCGCACTTATGCTTGATTTATATCTTATATATTAACTTTATGTAATATATCAAATTGTTAAATTTTTAAGCAACACCAAAAAGGAACAATTCGTCTATAATTTTGGCTGCATTTTTACTTCCGTGAAGCTCCTGAGCCCCAGAAATTTTTAGAACAAATAACTACTTATTACAAGGCAAAATCTACTTTTAGTTGGATCACAATTCGGCGATCTATATTCAAACGTTTTCAGTCTAGTCTACAAAAGATAAAATAATTTTCAGTATTGTTTGTTTTTGATATAATTGAATTAATTGAAATCAATGTAATTCAACCATAACTAAATGTACTGTATTTTCTGTTTGTACAGATATTTTCATTATATCCGATTAGTAGAATTTTATCTTTCATTTGGGGATTTAATAAAGATATGATATTTTTAAATTATAATTATTACGTAGATATTTATTTAGAATAGTTTTCCTTTGATTGAATTTTAACGATATTATAAATTTTTATTTAATTATTAATTTACCAGAGGGAGACTTTGTACAAAAGTCGTTTGCTTGGGTACCTCTGTCGCATTCGTGTTTCTACCGTGAAGCAGTTGTGTTTGCATGGCTGTGTTTCGGTTTGAAGGGTGGGATATGGCGTGAATTTACTGGGTACAGAGGAATAACACCTGAGTCCTCAGGAATGGCAACGCTTGGGAGGTATTATGGGCGAAACAGTATACTCTGTTATGTCCATGGTACTGCTCATGTTTATAGGCGAGGGTTACCACTTTCCGTCAGGTGGGCCGTTAGCTTGTTTGCCATTCTAAGTCGTATAAAAAAAAAAAAAAATATATATATATATATATACATTTAAAACCTAATGTATGTCTACTTACGAGTATATACTTTAAAGAAATAAACATATCAAATTCGCTATTATGAAAAATTTGCATTCAAAAAATCTAGTAGATGGTTGACAATTTTTAGCTATAAGAAGCAGCATAATCATTTTGTAGTATTCGATAGCATCGTCATGGTGCTAATGAGGAAATTGAAGACAAATTTTATTAAAATATTTAGTTGTTAGGCTTACCATATAAGGAGAATTTAGTATATTTATTTAGAGTAAGTTAATTATTAACATAGAATGAGTTGGACATAGACTATGCATGCACCTCCATCTACCTCTGAAACTTTAACTTTATCCCTTACGTATAATACTATATTAAATGCACTATTGAAAATAATAAACATTGCACTGACCATTATGTTACATATTCGCGTAGTATAATACCTATTCGCGTATTCTACGATAGATTGACAAATATATGTACAGTCCATTAAATTTCTCCTATATCTATACTGAATTAAAAATTAGCTGGAGATCTAATATACTGTATTTCTTATATCGCCTTCGAGATGAAAAACTTTAAGGATATATAGTATTCTGTGACCACAGCTAAATATATATTAAACTATAGTTTATGTTTCTAACTACACACAATATTTACGTAATTGACTAGCAATAGGTAAATTTTGCAAACAGTTCTAATATTGTCTTACTACGTCACAGAAATTCTTTTCTTTTACACGAACGAACGCACATAGATACAACTAAATTTATATTTTTCGTTTTTATTTATATTGTTCCCATTATTGCAGATGTTGCTGTTTACTGCACATGTATATACAAAGCATGACCAACATGTTGTAATTATATAAAATTTGTCTGGTGGATATGCTTTATATTGTTTATTAGATTCTGAAGATAAATATTGTGTTAATAAAATCAAGAAATGGTCATAAAATTTGATACAAAATGTAAAAATTATTAAGGATTTGATATTTTTTAAATCAATCTTAAGAAAGAATATATAAAGAACATTGAAGTCTCTAGGATACTGATAAACTGTCATTAATAAATTAATATTTTTGAAATATTTTAAAACGTATAGTTTTTGGTTTCTATTACCTTTTAAAAGTAATCAATTAAGTACTTATGCATAGACTTTATATAGCCACCACCAATAAAAATGGAATGGGTTAACATTTAGCATCATAATAATTATATATAAAATATAATTATATTATCTATATAATTAGAGTAATGCGATCTTGCAGTATCTTTACAATCGGAATTAAAATAAATTTGCGAGTATTATTTATTGTAGACTAAAAAACTATTTGTTGTCAGGAAAACTGATAACTATCCTGTTTTTGAAAATAAAATTGGAATTGACACAAGTTGTGTGTGATCGATTCGTCCTTTTCTTTAAATGTATTGTATTGAAAGTGACGATTTTCGTACATCTTAACTATATTTATAATTATAAATCAGTGAAACATTACGTAGACTAATCAAAGTTCAAATCTATTCCCATCGTGTAGGTATGTAAATGCAATGGTGGCATCGTCATATCGTTACGTTAATGCTCACTATGAAATGAAGTTATAAATAGAGAGTGTTTTGTTTATTTGAAGTTTGATAAGGATGTAGCCGGGGTAGGTGTCGAATCTCGTGGCCATTGATCGGTGGGCGGGCAGCGTTCACAGCGGCGGGCGGAACACCCACGTGTTCGCTGAAGCTCAGAATAGACAGTCCGCTCCGCGCCATCGCACCTCACTCATACCGTCCGAATTACGTCTCTCCATATTTTTAAAATTATTATAATTAAAATTGTTGTTATCATTGTGTTGAATGAAAAATTATAGTGATTTTTTAAGTATTTAATATTTACTTGTGTGTTAGTGGTTGGTTATGACAACGTAAGCAAACGTTCAATGTGTGGTCAGTCACGTACGCTGTGCAGAAGTGTGTGACTAATATTGTTGCTGTCGTGACATTGGCTTAGCTCTATCAGGCTGTTGTAGACGTGTGTTGCGTTATTATCAATAAGAAAAACCTTGGCTCAGTCGAGTTTTGTGCGCGGGCGCATCTGAACAGTCATAAGCGCCGGCGCCGCGTGTAAAGGTGTGAAGCGCCAAGCGCATGTGCGATGCGATGCGTGAAAAACTCTCTGAACTGCTGCGTGGGACAGTGCGTGCGCCGACAGATAACACGGACAAGTTGCAGAATGGCATCACTCCAGTACTGTTGTTCTCTGATCAAGGTTTATATTTGAATTACGTATTTTAAAATTTAATCTGGTCAAGTTTTATTGTGGCGTGTTTAAAAACTGATACTTTTAAAACCAACTTTACACAAAATTTTGTAACCTATCGTGAAAATTGCATCATATTTCGTCTTATAGAGTATATAGGTACAAAGTCATTGGCTTCGGTATACAACATGTAACAGAAGCATCATTTCAGAAAAAAAAGAGTTTAAAATTATATATCCTTTTTTGTATGGGTAAAAAAAAACGATAAGGTTCTGAATTTAGAAATGAAAACCGGTTTAGCAAGGGTAACAGGGTAGCTTATAAATTGGTTAGGTGGGTAACCTAAGGGTAAGGTTATCTGTCCACTGCTGGACATAGGCCTCCTCCAAAAGGAGGTTACAAATTAAACAATACCTACCAAACATTATATAGCTTAGACTTAAATTGAAGAGATTGAATGTTATTAATATTATAAAATTAAGGCAGTTATTAAAAAAAGATTTAACTATTCCGGTTTTTTTTATAAATTTAATCTAGAAAAATATTTTTTTCTTATCCGAGGATTTAGTCGTACATATGATATCCTTGCGTGTAATTATATACTTTGCCTTAAATTTGCCGCTCATAAAATTTACCGTATTAGGTTCCGAATTACTCAGCCTGCTGGTAAATCTACCACTGCATCCTGGAGATGAGAAAAAGGCTGACAGATTGTCATATATATAACGAAAAAAGAAAAATAACTACGAATATTTTTTGCTATATATTGATTACCTGTGCCTACAGTCTTTTTTGCAGTAGTGTAAATAAACTCTGTAAAAAATTTTATGATAATTTCAATATTCTGCCTTCCGTACTTTACAATAAAGGTTCGAAGCTACATGTATAATGCTTTCCTACTTAACTATCAATTAAATAATTCTGTATTCATGCATATTTTTGAAGAATTAATGAGTTTTTTATTACAAAAAACAGTGGCTTATTAAAAATATTCTTACATGATAACAACTATCCTATTTTGATATTATAACTAGTCTGGGCATAAAAATAGGATTGCATAGATCGCCTTGTACAAAGTAGATATAGAGTCGTCAGTCATATTCCAGACGCTTCAAAAGCTTGGTATCAGCCGTATGTTCATATATAGAACTATCTAATATATAACAGATACAACAACAGTTCGTCTGTCGAAAAGCAAAAAAGATCGGGGCGGCCGCATGCCGTTAGAACTACAAAGGCTCTTAATGCTGTTAAAGCCAGAGTTCGTCGTAACCCCATCAGGAAGCAAAAAATCTTATCGCGAGAAATGAAGATTATCTCTAGGACTCTGTCGCGTATTTTAAAACAAGACCTGAAGCTCGGTGCTTATCGTCGATATACACGACATGCCCTAAATGAATCTTTACAACTAAAGAGAGTGGATCGATCTAAATGCTTTTTGTCGCGATACACAGGCGAAAGGCACAGAAATATCCTCTTTACCAATGAAAAAAAATTCGCAATTGAAGAACACTACAATAAGCAAAATGATAAAGTGTACGCTCACAGTTCTCAAGAAGATGTTCAAGTGGTTGCAAAGGTACAACGTGGTCATCATCCTGCGTCAGTGATGGTTTCGTGGGGCGTGTTAAGACACGCCCACACACACTTCATAAGTGAAGGAGTCACAAAACTACATTTTTGTGAAAAAGGAGTGAAAACTTCAGTCAAAGTGTATCAAGATACAGTCTTAGATCGTGTTGTGAAACCTCTCAACAAAACACTTTTTAAAAATATATCGTGGACTCTCCAGCAGGACTCTACACTTGGTCAAAAGGCACAAACTACCCGAGCCTAGCTAGAAACCAACTTTCCGAACTTTAAAAGAGCTGAAGACTGGCTCTCATCTAGCCCAGACCTCAACCCTTTAGACTTCAAATTATGGTCAATTTTAGAGGACATGGCCTGCTCTAAAGGACACGGCGACATTGAGTCTTTTAAAAAAATCTTTGTAGTTTTTTCCCTTGGAAACAGTGCGTCAAAACATAGATTCGTGACCAGACAGATTTAAGGCCAATATAAAAGTCAAAGGTAGCCATTTTGAATAGAATATTTTTTTTATTTTTCGCTGAGACTTTAATAAATATGTAGGTATAAATTTTAGTAAATAAGTAAATAAACACATTAGTGAATTAAGCCACAGATGTTTTATCTAATGTTAACACATTACATTAGTTTTAAAAACAATAGATCATAATTCTGACATACTATGTAATAAGTAATAATAGGTATATATCTATCTACCTGCATTGTTATATTATTATCAATTCACATTGTCTCATTCATATGAAGTTTGAAAACATGGTTAACAATATCTACGTATGCAAATATATGTTTTTAATTTCAAGTAAGTGTTTAGATCATTTATACTTGGTTATATCTTGCACTTTTATCCTAGTAAATTTGAATAAAAACTTACAGAGTTAATTAAATTCCCATAATTAAGACCTTACAGAGTTAATTAAGATCTCTCCTATAAAGGGGGTTTTGTCGCTTGTCGTCACCTTTGGCAGGAAGGTTGACTACCGCAGTTAGATTTTGGTGATATTTTAAGATAGACGCTGCTGCCCATCCCTAGACCTTTAAGTTTCCTTAGTTATATGACACCTTTTATGATACCCGTGGAAAAGGAAGTGGTGGTCTATTCCATAACGGGACTACACGGTAGTAATTTAGGATATTATATACCTATTACAGGCTAAGTACTGTGTCACAACACATGAATTTTTTTATGGAATGTTGTTTAAGAGTGATTTAGTAATAAACATTTATAATATTTGTAGGATTAGTACATATCTAGTATACCTCATAGAAAGTAAAAACATTATAATATATTAATTATCAGTTGTTGATGTACTCAGGTTATTTCAAATTCCTGCCCAAATGGATAGAATATACACATATTTATTTATTTTATTTATTTAACTCTTTATTGCACCATAAATAAAAATATACAATGACAAGTGAATAATTCAAATGAAATACAGTAACATAAATAAACATATACATAGAAAATCTAAGGAACTGTAATGTAAATTATTTAATAATAACATCTATTTGCAGTGGTCGCGATTATTACCTACTAATGAATATAATAAAAGTGCTTTGTTGTAAAATTAACGATGTGTAAAATAAATGTTGTAGATACAAAATAAAGGTCAGGTTTAATAGGTTTACACATAATACAAACTCAGCATGATTTATTATATATTATAATGCTAAATAATAATATAATACTATTAATCGATTAGATTACAGCCTCATTTTAATAGAGGAAGATTGTAGAAGAGCCATTTGTATGGCTATCTTTGTCCCACTTGTGTTTTTGTCGTGGAGCAAATACTCTTGTATGGCTGTGTTTCAGTTTGAAGAAGCATAAGATCATAAATCTCAGAAAAGGTAATGCATGAAGTGCATTATGCGATGAACATGTTGTTATTCATGTATTTAGCTAACGTTTATAACTTTTTATCAGTTGGGCCGTTAGCTTATTTTCTATTCTAAATGTCATTAAAATCATAATACTTGTAGTAATTTATTGGAATTTAATACGCAAAATTACTGACATAATTGACATTGTATTACAATATTAGTGCACTTAATCTACACACCTACTTAGAATAAAAAAAAAGGATACTTCGAGTTCTTATGGGTGTTTATTTATTGTATTTGTAAAGTAACTACGTCTTATTGACTTACATATACAATGATGTAACCTCAGAATAATTTATAACTTAAACAAAATAATACCACTTCTTAAATCATAGTGAGCTAATACCATATGTTTAGACTAAAAATTTATGCAACGTTAATGAAGTGTACCAATATAATAATAATTTATTAGTACGTAGATACTTATTTGAATTAGCAATAGAGGTCCGAGTAACGAAAATAATAGCTTATAATAATGCGAGTAAGGATTAATATAAAAGAAACAGCTCCAGAACATAAAAACTTTTCAACTAAAATTGTTTATTGAAAGTCGATAGATGAGTTAGCTGTCATAATAATTTACCTAGTTACCACATATATAACAAATACCTCTCCCTACATTTTAAATATTAGGTAGGTTTAATATCATCTACTTAACATACATATCGCGGTTAAAGTTTATTTTAGTTTCATTCAATTGTATTCGTAGTAATATTTTCTATAGTAATATTTAGCTAGAAAAAAAAACTTATACAGTTCTCTAAATATTTATTTATGATATGTTACTATTTTGTAATGGATGATGGCGGGTTAGAAAATCAATATAATGAAAAAAAGCGTGATGATCGAAAACTCTGTTGATATTGAGTTTTATATTCGCAAACATTAACTAGGAAAGCTAGAAATAGACAAAGCAAATTTAATTAAATATTTCTTTATTGATTTCTCTCTCTCTCTTAAGTATGCAATAAACAACAAAATCAACAATTTTTTTTTAATTCAGTAGTAATGAATAAAATTAGTTGACAAGTAGCCATTATTATTTGTTACAGTAAAAACTATTTTTCCTCCTTTGTTTTAGAGTGAACTGCATAATAAAATTATGTAAGTATGTTGCTAATTTGCGTTTAACAGGATAAAAATATTCAAACATATGAAATAAACAATTGGTATATTTAATACATACGTAGTATACCTATAAGAACATGTGTACGTGATGTGAAGCAGATGCTGCTTATGTTACACTTACTTACACGGTGTCATGTGACACTGCAAGTCATCAAGAAGTACATACCTGACAAGTTTGCGATATATAAAACGCTTACTCATGGTAGCTTCGTACTGTATTAAATTATAATTATACAAACATATTTTTACTGATCAAATACTTTCTTTTTTATGCATGATAATAGAATAGTAACGGTAACGGTGTACGCTGTCGGGACATTAGTAAGGGTTGATAAGTGAGGGTGTAAACGCAGGTTAGTTAGCCCATCGTGATGAATACACCATGAATTCAGCACGATGGTTTCCAGGGAGGATCACGGGGAGGTTGATCTGACAGGGCATATTGCTAGCAATGGGACTGGTAGTCTATATACTAGCAATCCCTTCCCCCCTGACCAAATACTTAATACCAACTTTAGAACAAAGCTATGTTTCTGCAACAAAGATTCCCCAACCCCCTATTCTTACAATGTTCTGTAATGTTCAAGAATTTTATGTCATTCACGTAAATATATGCATGCAATAAAATGTTATATTTAATCCGGTTTAGATATATTTTTTATGTCTGTTCCTTTAAAACTGTCATTTATAGATCTGAAAGGATGTACTTTCTATCGATCTCATAGAATTTTCGTCAAAAATCGGTTTGCAGTTTGGTTATGATATCAAAATAACTGGTATTGCCACGATTGAAGTCGGTGTTTTTTTGGAAACAAAATAAACTTGTTTATAGGTAGGTACATCCTAAGTCTATCCCTCATTAAAAAGACGTTTTCTATTTTAAGCAGTTTCGAAAATGCAGAGGTTCTTGTATTTTTTTGTTTAGGTATTCTCTCTAAACTTTAACTGATTTAGGAATTATTATTGTATTTGATAGAAATACTCACTACTCCCATGTTGGTTCCACTTAAATTTACAATTATAAGTATACCCGCGTGACCGGGATATAGGTATTTATTGACCGGGATGAAAAGTAACCTATATCCTTCTTCATCTCATACAATACGTGCATATCAATTTCATAGTGATCGGTTAAGCCATTAAAGGTGCTATAAGATACAAACAAACAAACTCACTTTCACATTTATAATATTAATAAAGATTTGTGAAAATCTTGAATTACTGCTGTCGTAATCCACTTATCAGATTACCTGTTTTTATTATACAATGTATATAGGTACTGATATATTTAGAAAGCGATAACATATAGGTAGGTATAGTATATATGGATAGGCCGATTCTACATAGTAGGAACCTACGTGTATAATGTTGCGGAAATATCAGTATGACAGATATCATACACAAGGAAAGAACAATAGCGCGTAATGTCGTCAGTGATGATAAAGGCCATAATTATATGGACCACTTATGACAGCTTAAATTTCAGTACAATGAAGTTATTTTGTTAGAGTAGATACTTAAATTATTTAGATTTAGTTAGACAGAAAGTGTTTATTTTTTTTAATCTGTTGAAGTCACAAACAAACGTTATAACGATTATTTGCTATTCTGCTTTGTATAAGTGACTTGTATTTAAATTGATACCAATTTGAAATTCGGTGATAGTATTTATGAAGTTAAAAACAAAATATAATTACTCATATGTACATTACACCAAGTAGGTAATCCACACATATTAATGAACGGGAAGATGTTTCGTAGATTTAATTGAAGATATTTGAATTTAGAAATCGGTACTGTGTTCCTTCAAATAGATTTTACTTCGCAACATGTACAGTTATTTCCAACCAAATACGGCAAATTTAATCGTTATAAAATTAAAACAACATTTGAAAATTGGTTGAAAGGAAATAAACAGTCTTTTTAAACACAGAAAAATCAAATAGATGTTGTATGTTTTTTATTAATAAATGATAAACCTAGTTTTATAAAATATATAACTCTTAATCACCTGCCTAGATTTTGCTTATAGTTACATTAGGTGGATCAGGTGGTTTAAAAAAAATACTTTTAGTTCAACACATAAAAATATTAATTTCTTTTTTGTTAGAATATTTAATAGGATAACATAAAAATACTATTATTAACTAATGAAGTTACTTTCGTATCCGATCCTTTTATTATTTGGAAACCAGAAGAACCCTGGTCTTGGCCTAGACATAGCATAAAAAGCTTTAGATCTTAAATACATTGCCATTGACACTGACAGATAATCCATAACAATACGGTTAATTGGAATTGGCAGACTATTAGGTAGTAATATGCTTTTTATTTGCTAACCACTAGTCTATTGTAATAATGGGATTAAAATACAAGTAATTTAGTGAGATATTTGTCGCCTTGTCACATACATAGTCACCTACAAATAGAATTTAATTATTTCTAACCCTACATAACACATTTATTACTTTAAATTAATTCTGTAAGATTGTTTTGCTGTCGATTTAATAAGGTCCAACTGTGTCGACAAATGCTTATTACAAAACACATTATAAATGTTCCCTACTTCTTTAATAACAAACAGTGGTGGTCATACAACCTCCAGTCTATTTATCGTAATATTTAGTCTATGTTTCAGGTTCTAAATGGTTTTTATAGCAGTATATATTCTAATTGGAAAATATATTCAGAAATATAGTCTGTATGATTAATGACCTATTTTATACTTATACAACAAGTTATAAAACAACTAGTTTTCTACTCGTGACTTTGTTTGTGTGATCGGTTATGTTGATAAGGCGAAATAAAAATTGGTATCAAGAGGTAACAAACAAATAAAATCATTTATATTTACATTATATTAGCAAGACGTACCGTCGGCGTTTCACCTACATACCATTCATGACGTCCATGATCGTCACTCATGCTTTTAAGCGATGGTTGGCGCTTTTTAGCTGAATTTCCATTCTAAATAGTACAAAATAAACATTTTAAATTTATCTACCTACAGATTCAATATATATAGATTATAATGCTCTTCTTTATTGACGAGGGTAATCTAGCTACTTGGTTTATGAAAACTGTTTGAGAGTCAGTAAAAATATGTCGTCGATATAATAATATCAAAAATTTAAATTCATCCATTTCATTTCGCCACATACAAAATTGCAATCCGCTGAAATTTTGGCAACTGTTCCATGCGATTGAGTTTGTTTTTGTGATGTAAGTAGGTAGGTATATATAGCCTCATTGAAACTGTCACGTTACGTTTTTTATCACTATGTTGGTATGTGTTACATTACTTTCTATTTAAAAAAAAAATATAATGGTATGAGAAACTTCCATAGTTAAATTAGTTCAATATTTTTTTGAGGCAATGTTTAAAATTGTAATTTTTACCCAATAACAGCAACTTAAAAATATCCAGGACTTTACTTTGCAATGGGATACCCACAGGCACTTTGCGGTTGTTACCATTGTGTTAACATTCAATAATAGTTATACATAAGTGTCTAAAGTGTGTCAGCCAATATTTATTCGCAAATTACATGATATATTTGTTATTAATTTATAGTTATAAAATCCAGACCGACTATTAACACACATTCAAAATTATAAAGTTTAGAAAGCTGAAATATGAAACAGGTTTAATAAGAAACGTAAGTGTTTACGATTTTTGAAAATGTTCTATTTAAAAAGGGAATGGAATTAATTCACCGGAAATTTACTATGATGGTATCCAAGATGAACCGCGTGAAATTTGATCTGACACATATACCCTGTATTACTAATATTGGGTCACTAATCGTTATTGTAAATAATATCCTCCGTTTTACATTTTAATGGTACACGTTTTGTTACAATTATAATAGTTATGTATCTACTTACATAGAACTAGCAAGAAAATTTATATGCTTTACTTATGGAGTAATATTTATTGTCGCTACTGGTTGTAAGAAATTGATTGTGACGTCAATAATTGATAGGCATTTCATAGAGGTCAACTTAATTTAGGTACGTACAATGACTAGTACGATGGGACGATGAACTGTTAAAGCGTCTACAAGAGTACAATAAATTAGGTAACGTTTAAAATAACTATACCGTCTTCTACAACTTTTTATTTTCTTTTTACGTTTAGAAAATGAGCTACGTGATTGTTATACAAATGTTGATATTTCTTTTAAACAAGAGAGAGTTGGGTTCCGAGTGTCTCTAGTGGTTTATCAATCAGCCCCTTTGTAAATGGCAACTGAAGTTATTAGTAGATATATTTTCAATATCGTATATGCCTGAGAAGAAATAAGACGCCAGATATTGCAGTCTCATTCTTATGTACCTATACGATAATTTTGTTTGCTACTTGATCTGACCTTAAAACGCCAAAGTATTCTTTCATAGATTATCTAGTTTAAAACGAATTTTGATGCATTAATTTAAATAAGGAATTGTTTTAGAAATTTCTAATAAATCTTAATTGAACTGTGAGACGACATTTACAATCGTAATAGCGAGAATGTACATATGTTATGGCAAGAGTGTCAATATTAATTTTAATATGCTACTTGAGAGACTAATGTTATGTTCACTATTAGAGTAAGTGTAAATAATGCTCTTTACTATCTATAGATTAATTTTTTTTATGTAATTTGGAATGATAAAATGTAATATCGTAGTTTATATTTCGGTATGGTTGTATCAACTAAACATATTTTTATTGATGCAGGGAGCGCACGCGAAGGCGGATTGGTATGGCGCGGGTGCTCCGCAGGCTGCGACGACGCCGAGGATGGCACGGCGGGAGCGCTCACCGACGGGAACCTCAACCCTGGAGACAAGGTACTTAAGCGATATTTGATAATTAATTAAGGTGTTGTGGGTGACCATGGCCGGCGGTATTCACTTACCATCAGGTGAGCCGCATGCTCGTTTGCCTCCTGTGTTGTAAAAAAAAAAACTTAAACGACTAAACAAATTTGAATGAAATTTCGTATTTAGGCACGGGTAAGTTAGATCCTAAAATAGGCACATAGGATAATTAACATACTAATTCACACATAAAAGAAGAGGATATGGGCCAATCTGGAGTACATGATATACACAGATCCTCCACTCTAAAACTGAGAATGGTTTAGGAGCCAGAATCTTTTTCCAAGACCTCAATAGAAACATACCGTTTGCCGAACACAGCTCAGTATTCCAAAGCGAATGTGTAGCAATAACAGATGGCGCTATAGCTGTAGGCTATATAAGTTAGGAATTAATGACACCGGCATTAGATTCCTATCTGATATCGCGGTGATACTAAAAGCACTAAGAAACAACAAAACAAATAAGAAATCGAAAGCACTGCATAAGATATCATTCAATAATCAAGTTATCCTCCAGTAGATAAGGGGATGGACACAATGGATCTTATGGTAACGATGCCGCTAATAAATCAGCTAGAATAGATTCTATAATGAAAGGAGCAGGCCCGTGTCCACTTCTTTCTCTTCCGTTCTCTTAGTTTCGAATATGGGTTCGTCAGAGATCCACTGATATACAAAAATACAGGTAACTGATTACAGACTGAAAATTCACCGTGCCTGTGTTGAATCGACGACATGATGGTTTTTAACAATTTTGTCTACATAAATTAGGATTAAAGCAGCCTGTGGTAGTCTAGGATATAGTATTGATGTATTAATTATACACTGAAATTCGTTTGGCTGTTTTTGCGTGATGTAGCAAACATCGATACATATTATCATCATGTTAATAAATATTAACATTTTGATAGAAACTGTCACATCCTACTGATATATATATATATATATATATATATATATATATATATATATATATATATATATATATATATATATATATATATATATAGTAGGATAAAAGCATCATAGATGTTGGCAGCCGCACTTGAAGCATTCTTAGGCACGGGAAGAATTTTATTTACAAATCGTTGCAGAGAAGAATGAATCGCTATCGAACTGATCTGACAATGTCGTGTATAAGCACCTCTTGGAGTTCGTCCTTGCTAAGAACCGCAAAGTACTATCAAGTGTTCTCTGCGGCAACAGCAATTTTTATCATTCTAGTTATGTGATTATTTTAGAATATTTTATTTTTACACTGAAATTTTGTACAGATAATATATATGAATTGGTCATGTTAAAGTAATTTGAACACAAAAATTTCAAGTGAAATTATCGTCGCATATCCACTCTAAACAGATTTTTTATTTATTTATTAACTTCCTCTTTGTGGGTGATATCACATTGTATACCAGTATATAAAAGTATTGTAGACAGCATAGCAATGATGTTTATCCGTGTACAGAAACAGGGATCCATCCTAGTTTAAAAATATGTAAGAGTGACGTCATATTCCTGAAATTTAAATGCCACATTGGAAGGTGTATTTAAACTCCTAGATTGGAAAGAATACAGTATTGGGTAAAATAAAAAATACTTGTAACATGAAAGAGAATAATAAAATCAAATAATGGCCTCCGGATGGTCCACGAATAGAAATCGGTTCAGTTAAGAAGAGATCTTGTTTTTTAAATAGATAAATGAGAGAAGATTCTAGACAAAATTAGAGAACCGCTTTTTGTTGATGAACATAGCGACAAAATGTAATAAAACCACAGATGATTTCTACAAATACCAAAATTTTTATTATCGCAAATCATGAACCAATTATTGCGAATTATTGGGTTGTAGCCAATTTCTGCCGGTGATGATTGGGTTGGTATTTGTTTTGTTAGATTTTTGTCGCTGTGGACATGGCATATATCTAGATTAAACAGAAGCTTTTTATAAGCAATAAAACCACCTCCGCATCTACAGTTTCTATAATACCATTTACTGTTTTCTTTTTTTATACAAGCAGTAAAATGACCTACGTTCTACCTATTCGAGCCAATTTGAAAAACCTTTTAATGTTATTATCTACTTTTCTTCCATTTCTGGATATCATGAAATGGTTTCGTCGCCAAATTAATAACCCTTACAATTACGGTAACAGTTTGATCGTCTAATTCGTATATTCCCTGTACAATTTGGAAAGGCAAATAATAATTATTATTATAATAATAAATACATGTCGTATCGTACATAAATTTTTACAACATATCCTCTTAATCATTAACTAATAAAAGCTTTTAGAATTTCTTGGTATAAAAGCTTGTAAATTTAAGTTTTAAAACCAAAACAAACTTTTTGAGATGAAAAAATAATACATAATAATATCTATGTATTTTTTATCGAATGTATTATGGGGATTGTTTCGACGAGTTGTTCGAAATGATACCAGCTACTGAAGTTCACTTTTGTACAACCCGCCACACACTAAAGTTCCAGCTTAACCATGGTAGTACACCTGCAACTCTTCTGGCGTTGCGGGTGTTCATGGGCGGCGGTACTCGCTTACTTTCAGGTGAGCAGCATGCATGTTTGCCACCTATGTAACTATGTAAAAAAGAAATCTGACAGACGAATTTTCTACAAAGTCCGTTCTGGTATAATGTCATCTCGGTCCAGGCTTAAAAATACATTCAGCTATTACCACAATACAATAGTGACTTGTCTACTGTCTATGGTACCTCCTATTTACGGCATAGAAACAATGGTACAGCACGATTTATAAAATGTAAGTGTGTGTCATTAAAGTACTTTAACAAATGAATGTATGTACTTGGGAACTGGCAACAAAGATCAAGCAATCAATTATTTAATTTCATCCTTATTCTACAATGATCAGAGCCATCAGACAATGATCATGCTGTTTACGAGTGATCGTTAAAGCACTGAAATGACGATTTTTATGATTTTATTACTAAACTCAATGAAGTATTTAATAAAGAATTGCCAATCAAAGTGTTACGGATTTATTAGTACTATCAAAAGTATTATTAAGAATCAGACATCCTTAGTAGACAGTGTATGTTATTTCAAATTTTGTAGGTAGGTTTATAGCAATGTTTAAGTATTACTAAGTACTTACCTTGTTTACCAAAATGTTCATATATTGTGTCCTATACGAATACATTATTCCTACCTATTGAGTATTCAAGAATAGTGCAATCTTCTATTAGTAAAAGTATTCTTATAGTAGTATAAAAACATTAGGTTCTTTCACTTCTCCAGAATATTGCTCTTATTTTTATTCGTAGACTGTTGTAAAAGAGGATTGGGTAAATGAACCATAATATAATACACCAGTGCAAGAAAAGGAAAACTCTAAATAATACCCCATAACGTGTCTTTTAGACAACGTAGTAATAGTAGATTATATGCTGTTTATTATACTCATCTGATTTACTTAAATTTATCTTGATTTTTGTTATAGTTGGAGGGGTCGGACGCAGCTCCGGACGACCCTGTTCACCTCAAGCGACAGGTGGGACTCGTCAGTGGGGTGGCTTTAATCGTTGGCACCATGATAGGTAAGACTTTTCAAAATTATTTAAAGACCTATATAATAATGTATTGAGATATAATTTTTGTTTGCATTTTCGTACGATTAGACTAATCTTTTAAATTATGCGTACATTAAATAGAATTTGATAGGTACCTAGGGTGATATATAATAGTGAGGTAGGTGAATTTGATAGAATTTAATACAGTGTTAACATATTACATTGATACGATATTTTTAATACATTAGTATTAAAAAAATTCACACTAATATGACATGAATTTACGAGTATGTGGTGCTACAAAAAGCGCTATTCGTATTTGCGTCATCCGCTGCGTCATAATCTAAGCATAGTTCGATATTATGTGAACTACTTTTTCAATTTATAGTGAAATAGTTTCGCTTATGGTTTCATATTATTCTCGTTGGCGAATAATGTAGATCTGAGTCTCTAATGGTCTTAGAAAATGAAATTTGATAAGGATATATATATAATATTTGTGATATTAAATTAACCTCATTATCTATAAGTATAAAGAGATTAAGTTTTCATATGTTTTCAATTACCGTGTACTCGTATATCTATAATATCGTTATGCCATGTACAATCACATAATTGTGATTGCATACATTTTTTTACTCTTCTATTTTACGCTATTGATCGTTAGATTCTACGGTAAATTATATACAGCTTTCTGTTTTTTCAGGCTCGGGAATTTTCGTCTCGCCCTCTGGGCTTTTGGAGCGCACGGGTTCAGTGGGCATAAGCTTCATCATATGGATGGCGTGCGGACTGCTCTCGCTGCTTGGTAATAATTAATTTATAAATAAATAACATAAATATATTAACGACTATTATACCTCATGGGGTAGTCAGAGTTATTTGACAACTTTTCTCGCTGTGGTGAATGTAATATTAAAAGTTGATATTTTTTTTATGAAACTTGCAATGGTTAGGTAACTGACGGAATGAGTTGATACCTTATAGAAAGACTCGAGTTCCATGAACCAAGGTAGGTCAGTTAGTCCGTCTTGAATAATTCTCTACTGTGTGAGAGTCGGTCTACTTTTAGTTAGCAATGGGACAGTTACTCATAAAAATTGCCTTTATGGAGACAGGATGACAAGAACATCTTCTATACTAAGAGAAAACTAAGAAATCATTCACTTAGTCTATACACATCTTTATGAAGTTATAACATGTGGAAATCAGACGGTTTATTAAAAATAATTCATATTGTGATGAAGTTTAAGAGAAAGATCTTTTTATAAGCGGAAACAAGTCGTATGACTTGTTTCCGCTTATATACAAATACAAAAATACAACACAAATAGGCACAACTTATAGCTGTGCCTATGTGTGTTGTATTTTTGATTAAAATTCATTTAAATAAATCATTGATAAAGTATCTAAAATAAAAGCCAAAAATAAATCATTTAATTTTGCCTTTGGCAAAATTTTTGACCGACTTCAAAATAGGAGAATAGACTATATAATTTTTATGTATTCTTTCATTTTTGGATCATGGTAATGTTATTACAGGAGCGCTTGCGTATGCGGAGTTGGGGACAATGAACACGTCCTCTGGCGCTGAATACGCCTATTTTATGGATGCATTCGGAGGACCACCGGCATTTCTGTTTTCATGGGTAAACAAATTATTACATATCTAATTCGATTTTGATAAAGTTCTTTGCAGTCGATAGATATTCCATTTCGACGCCACGTTAATTTTGTCAATTTTGAAGAGACTATTATTTTTGCCGAAATATTCCATGAAGAAGGTACTTATGTACACTATTATTTTAAGTATATATATTAACATATGTGTATAATACCTATACATAATAATCTACCTTAAAGTGAGGAAGGAGTACAAAGTTAATAAATCAAGATCCTTAATCTTATTGATCGAAGTCCGCTTGAGAGCGAGTTTAATCTCTATTATCAATATATTACCAGTATCGATTGGTTTGTTGACTTTCTTGACGTAATAGTTTTATTTATATATCTGTATATAGAATACATGTTATCTATTTCTTTCAAAAATATGCTTTTTTAGAGTTCATAAGGACTGATGAGAATATTGACCTATGTAATTACGTATATATTTATAATAAAATTAAATATAGAGTTAGTTCTAGTTCATAAATATTGAAAATAATCTATTATGATTGAATACACAATATATATCAAAAAAACATGATTTTTGATTTGACAACATGATTGTCTTTAATTACACCATTTTTATATATGTATTATTATCACAATCCAGTAACACTGAATATATATCGTGTGCTTGTCTTTGTGAATAGGAAGTAGAAAGTATCTAGTTCCTATGCAAATTTTTGGGTCATGTTAGTTTCATCAATAATAATTTTTAGGTATCGACATTGGTGCTGAAACCATCCCAAATGGCTATAATTTGTCTAAGCTTCGCTAAGTATGCGGTAGAACCGTTTGTGTCCGAGTGCGAACCGCCACAAAGCCTTGTCAAGCTCGTAGCACTAATTGCAATTGGTAAGCTTATTTTAATATATATTTAAATTATAATTTAAGAACAGACACTAAAAATGTTATGTATTTGTAATGTATCTTTTTGAGAAGTAGATTTATATACTAAAATAAATAATTATAGAAAAATAACGTACCTACGCAAATAAGTTCCAATTGACTTTCGTGGCTTGCGCCTGTAAATTTTATTAAAATATCAGTTCTATAAGAAAAATATTTTGAGTATTACTATTTGGTAGTTTTACAAAATAACTCAATTGTACATGATCCTATACGATTGGTCGTATGAAAAATTGCTTAACGAGCAACGAGGAGAAATGATGCTTATAGTTTTCGTGTGTGATAGAATTCGCAATAAAAAGATCTGTAAATAAATGGACTACATGAATAAAGTAACCAATAAAGTATTGGTCAGCTGAACTGAAAATGGGACAACCACATATTTCATTTTAGTATTGATAATTAATAAGGAAAAAAGATTTTGAAGTAGCGACCCCATAGGGGCAAACGCAGTGTAGAGCGAACCTGCAGGGAGTCAACGGATGGCTGTAATTATTTTTGAAGTAAGCCTGTATAGTCTAAGTGGTGGCGTGAATTTACTGGATACAGAGGAATAACATCTGAGTCCTTTGGAATGGCAACGCATGGGGGGTATCATGGGCGAAACAGTATACTCTGTTATGTCCATGGTACTGCTCATGTCTATAGGCGACGGTTACCACTTTCCATCAGGTGGGCCGTCAGCTTGTTTGCCATTCTAAGTTGTATAAAAAAAAAAAGTGGTCAAATGTGAATAGCTAAAATAATAAACGTGACGATAATATACTTCTGGGATAGACACATGAGATACGCGCATTCTTATTATGGAACCATTAGGAAATAAATGTCACATCTGTCATATAATCTTATATGACGTCATCATCCTATCAGCCGTTAACTATCCACTGTTGAACCTAGGCCTCTCCACAGACTATCATAAGGAACGGTTCCGAGCCACCTGCATCCTATATGACATACTTACCTAGAATTAGAGTCTCATATTGAAACTAAAGGTACATATTGAAACTCTATATCTTGTAATTTGTTTAATTTCTTTTGTTTCAGTAATGATCTTAGCGGTCAACTGCTATAGCGTGAACTTGGCAACTAATGTTCAAAACATTTTCACGGCAGCCAAATTAGGAGCGATTGCGATCATCGTTTGCGGCGGAGCTTACAAATTGATATTAGGTAATAAACATTCAGGGCCGGAGTTACTTTATTACAAATGTATTTAATGTTCAATTCTTAATTACATTTTCTATTACTTACAATAACATGTCATTTAAAATCATAAGCATGTGACAAATTCCCATCACCATTAGATAGTCCCCTAAATCGTCCACCATCTAATCCACAATTAATCATAATGGGATGTAAATAATTCAGCAAAGACTGACGGGTGGTGTGTCCGTATGGTGCAGGTAATACGCGACATTTACAGGAGCCCAACTTCGCCAGTAGCACGGCGACTCTGGGCAACATAGCAACCGCATTCTACACGGGCCTATGGGCCTACGATGGTTGGAACAATCTCAACTATGTAACTGAGGAAATTAAGAATCCATCCAAGTAAGTAATATGTTACTTAGTATTTATTAAGAATAAAGAATTACGTTAAACTTTTGCTAATTACGATGACACTAAAATACATTGCCCTAGTATGTACATATCTACTACTACTATACCAATATTTACAATCAGTATTTTGATCAACACAAAAATGAATTTCTTTTTTCATTTTTTAAAGCATTTTTGTCTGCAGACAAACGCTTTGTTTTTCTGTTCTTACTAGACCTTTTAATCTCATGAAAAACAATCCTCTACAGCGTATATTTTAGGTCGGTTATAATGAAGCACCTAAAATAGTACTTACCTAAATACAACATAGGGACACGTACTTGCAGTACCCGATTTACACAAAGGGAAAATTGTTTGCGAACAAAATGTTTGTCGTCTGCGTAGGACTTTAAAATGAATTGGTAGATTTATATAATTAATATCTAAGATATAACAAAATTCAAATAATGTCAGTTATTTTGTATTAATAGATACTATTATAAATACAAAGATCACCCAAGTTACTATCTATTTAATTATATCTTATCTGCTTGTTTATTTTTTTGTTACCTTAGTCACTTATTTGTTTAAATATTAAATAAAAAAAAATAACACTAGGTATCTTAGGAATGTGGATATAAAATATTAAAGTGAGTCTGTACGTTTGTTGCTTTTTTACCACTAAACATTTAATTACCTGCATTTAACCTTTTTTCTATACTTATAATGTTAACTAATATTAATATCCCCTTGGTAGTGTTTCTTAACATTTACTTTATAAAATGACGTTAATTTTTTACTTAATTGACAATGTATTAGATATCATATATATTTTACTTTATCAATAACGGTGTCAAAATTCATGACAAATTTTGTAATACCTTTTTTAGATAGTTTCCACGAATATAACTTTATCAGAATTATATCTTACAATTCCTGTATGTATCTACTTTGCGTGTGATTCGTTTTAGGAATCTTCCGTTGAGTATAGTGATCGGCATACCTTTGGTGACACTCTGTTATGCTCTGGTGAACGTGTCATACCTGGCGGTGATGTCCGTCAGCGAGATGGCGGACAGCGAGGCTGTAGCGGTGACTTTCGGGAACCGCTTGTTGGGGCCCATGGCATGGCTCATGCCACTGGCTGTTACTATATCCACGTTTGGTTCAGCTAACGGCACTTTATTTGTCGCAGGAAGGTAAATGTTAATTTCATAATAATATTGTTTCATGTATAAATGTGTAATATTTTCCAAGGTTGTACAAAAATCTCGCCTGATTGGTTGCTTCGGCTGCTTTATTTGCTAAGAAGCTTGAGTGTTTTTGTTTTTAGTTTTGAAGGATGGAATATGTTCGTAAAAATAAAGGAAACGGAGACAACATCTTAACTCTTAGGAATGCCAACCCATTGCCAAAATTAATGGTAACCGTTGCGTATATAGATGTGGATTGACGTCATGCACCATTAATGGTCATCAACAATATACCTACTTACGAGTATAATGGCGTATTAGCGTCCTTCATACAGTGACGGTTGAGGACTAAGTTTGTAAGAAATTTTGACGTGTTAGGGTTTTCCTTGACATTTGTCTCTTCAAAGCAAAAATAATACAAAAACAAACTGGAATTGTTTTTTTTATTAAAAACAAATAATGTTCACAGCTGGCTACGAGAACTCAAAAAAATAGACCCAAGTCAATCAAAAATCTTTATTCTCATTGCATACTATTGTGATGCAGAATAAATACATCATTCGTATTAATTATACACACTGACGTAGCTGTCTCTAAGTAACACTATTACAACGTATACTATGGTAGGTAGATTGTAGACACAATGTATCTAGCTGGGTACTTGCCATATGTGACTATATACAGTACGGTCTTTGTTCATATGACATATTATACTAAATACTAATAGATTGTACACTTTGGACCAAAGATTTTGTAATTCATTGTTCTTAGCTGTGGTAGACTAAATATCATCTTAATTTGTTTTATTAATCCATAGTCATAAATTATTATTGATTGACAGTAAAGCGTACATAATTTATTTGTCCAATTAGAATTCAACTGCATAAAGTATTGATTATTCTAATTTTCTTATGTAAATTTTCTCAGGTTGTGCTTTGCAGCCTCACGGGAAGGTCATTTATTGGATATTTTGTCGTATGTTCACGTGCGTCGCTTCACACCCGCTCCAGGACTGATATTCCATGTAAGTATACCTTTTTTTAATGAGATGACAATTGATAGGTAACCTTGCTTGTATCATCTGTATATGTTGACGGGAACCAAGACAGGTTAAATGATCCAACTTAATAAATTTATCAGTAATTGTAGTAATAATGGCGTGAATTTACAGGGTACAGAGGAATAAAACCTGAGTCTTCAAGAATGGCAACGCATAAGCGAAACAGTGTACTTTGTTCTGTCCACGGTACTGCTCATATCTATAGGCGACGGTTACCCCTTTCCATCAGGTGGGCCGTCAGCTTGTTTGCCATTCTAAGTTGTATAAAATAAAAATTATTTTTAATGGCTGAAAAAATAGCTGATAATGGAATGGTAACCCAGTCTGCGCTATCGGTATACACGGGCGGGGTACAAGTGAGGGATGATGGATGAGGATGAAAGCAGGTCAGTTAATCCGTTATGACGAATTCATTAAGAATTAACCAAGATGGCTTCCAAGGGAACCCGCGTAGAGTACGAATTGATTGGCTTGCTAGCAAGTCACTAGCGAAATGTATTTCTGTCGAGTATATAGGTAAAACATAGGGTAATGTATAATTATTTTCAAATACAAATTACGAATAATAATTACGAACAGCCTTGACTACAATAGTAATAAATCGATAATTTCCTCTGACAATACCATAAGACATTACTATCATAAGCATATTTGTAATATAGAATTTATTTTTATCGTTTCAGTCTCTGATAGCAGTAGCAATGGTACTGTACGGGACAATAGATTCGTTAATCGACTTCTTCTCATTCACCGCTTGGATATTCTATGGTGGTGCGATGCTTGCTCTGATCGTTATGAGATACACTAAACCCCATGCACCTAGACCATATAAGGTATATATTGCGACTGATTAAATTTAATATAAAAAATAAATAAATAAAAAATGTCATAGTATTCCAGAACATTACAAGACTGATAAGCAAATGTGACGGTAGAAGATAGAGATGTGTGATTGTGTGGTTGCCTGTAAGAATAGACCGTAGGCATCTTACAGAAAATTATTTACATGAGCAAAGCTGCAATAAACAGCCGATTTAGTCGATAATCCTAAACAAACAAATCCAATAAATATTATAAATGTAAAAGTTTGTAAGGATAGACTAATCGATGGACGCTTGTTACTCTTTCACGCAAAAACTATTGAAAAGATTTGAATTAAATTTGGTACTTATTCACGCGCGCAAAGCCGCGAGATACAACTAGTTGTAAATATAATAATTACAAAATGCCACACAATCAAACTAATCGCCTGGTTCTCAAGCTATTATGCCTTGTGTTATGAGGAACCAGACAAAGAACGTTTGCAAGCAGAACCCAGAATCAAGCCAATATCATATACGCAAAGCTCTGTGCCCACTACTGCTTCATAGACGTCATAATTTTTTTAGTAATATATGTTAAAATAGTTTTCTTACGTGTTTACAGGTGCCAATAATTATCCCATATGTTGTTTTGTTGGTATCGGCGTATTTAGTGGTGGCCCCAATAGTGGACAAACCTCAATGGGAATATCTGTATGCCGCTGCTTTCATATTGGCCGGATTATTGGTCTATTTGCCTTTTGTGAAATGGGGATATACGTTGCCGTTTATGGGTAAGAATATTTTAGTTTTTATTAATAGAACCATTACTCCAGTTTATTAAATTATTGAAATAAATTAATAATTTAGTTATTATAGTGCCATCTACTGCAATGGGAAAGAAAGAACGAGAAAGAAAGAAAGAACGTATATATATTTTTTCTTTTCAGATAAAATAACAGTTTTCCTACAAATGGTGCTGGAGGTGGTGCCAACTTCAACAACATTTGAATACTGATGAGTCTGCGCTGGACTATAAAAGAGCATTTGTGACAAAATTAGAGTTTAAATTTTTCTGGTATCCTTTGTTAAATTTTACACTGTTATTGTTGATACATTTTTATCAATTTTGTCAACTTTCAATGATTTTTTGCCCATATATTTTATAATAAATAGACCATGAAGGTGGTGCTGAAAGATACTAATACAATGTTATTGTTTTCGACTGAGAATTTGTTCCTTGTTCTAAAATTCATAATTATTGTTTTGCGTAAGCGCTGTTAGAGACAAATGCAATAATTTGTTATTCGAATATGTAAATGAATTATTATAATATGTCATTATTATCATAAATAACATTTAATGCTTATATTCAATAGCGTATTTGGAAGAGAAAGGGGGGCTGTCTATTTTTGAATTGTCTGGTATTGACTGTAGAATTGTCTTGTATGGACTCAGAATAACGAGCGGAGCCTTGGGTATGTCTGAGAATGTACATGCGTCTTTTTTAATGTGTCAGGCCCCCTTTGGAAAATAATCTTAAATACGTCAATGACTATATTTAACAGAAATACAATACGTAAGTAAGGTGCATTCGGTTATTAAAAAAGTATTATAATAATAGTATTCATAGTTGTATTAAAAATGTGAATTTTCTGGCCTATAAGCAATTTCGTAATAAGTTGAAGTGTTTCAATAAATGTATGTAGCACCTAAATACATATAGATAGATATGTATAAAAATACTAAAAATTAAAATGTATTATTATTTCTTATAAGAGAACGTCGTGGTTTAGTTGTATAGTATCAGAATTTATAGACTCTAGGCCGTGAGTTCGCTTCTGGCTGACCGTTGTAAATTACCTAATAAGTATAATTTTGTATATCAGTTTACAAAAATCTGATATCGGTTGGGTAAAATTTGTTAGTAATGACATCTGAATTAACAAAGGCAAGGGAATGGTGTCAAAATTTCGATTATTCCATTCAGCCGAATGCACCTAACAACAAGGTTTTCAAATAATTTTAATATACAAAAAGAAATGATCTGGTTTTAAGTAAAATGCTTAATTGAGGTATTTACAATATTTGTAATTGTATTTTAAAGCCATAAGGCAATATTTTTGTGAAAATTAGATAGTGATGTCATAGTCCATTTCATTAGTTTGCACGAATCATTCCTATGGGGATCATGCAAAGAGAGATATTTTCAGGATTTACCATGTTTACAGAGCCAATATTTGTATTTTTAATAGGACATGTAAAAGGGCCACTTTAGATAGTTAAGATACCTACTTACTATACCTATATTATAATTTCTATATTAACATCGTAATTAATTTTTTTTATGATATGAATTTAAATTGTATTATAAAATATTTAAAACAGATAAAAAAAAAAAACAGAGGCTAAATCAAGCGCTTTAGAAGATTAAATACTTGCAAGATATACAATTTATATTTTAATTACAACATGGTCAATTATTAATCATAATATAAAAAGATACATAAAAATTGGCAAGATGTTGCATGGTACTTTTCGAATTTCTCGACTAAGCTTGAACCCTATTTGCATCACTATGAGTGATTGTGCTAAACTCATAGTTCGTAGTTCATCGGTCATCAATAGGCAACCTTAGTGGAAGTTTAGCTGTAACTGTTTTTATTATTACACAACAAAATTTGTGCGTTGTTTACTCATATTTTAGGGGCTTATACACATATATTTCACTTATTTTATATATTATAATATTAACCTTAGATTTTTAATTATATAAAGATGTTATGAAAGAAAAACAAAGACCGATGTTTTTATTGACATGAGACAAGTATTTATGATGCATGTAAATAATTCGTAAAGAACATTTAGTTTATAACATTCTATACATTTTATTTGTATGCGTCACAAAATTTTCTGTGGCAATGCCATGTATTGTTTTTTTTTAACAAACGTTTTTGAAAATTTAATTTTGCAGTGCAAATTTTTCATATTGATATTACAGGGTACCGATGCATATTACAGTAGTTTTTAGATATGGTGTCATATTAATACTATAACAGTTACAGTGAATTCTGTGACGTCCAATATGTACATGTATATAGGCGACCGTTACTGGTTTCCATTATGTGGGCTATCCGCTTATTTATCATTTGAAATTGCATAAAAAATACAATATGGGTTAATATTTTTAGAAATCTAAGGTTAAAAAAATTATACTAACAACGCGGCCCCAAATTAAAGACTAAAGTGTGTGTTTTCTAACAAATCTTTATTACCTATTGGTGGAGTTTTGCGACCGGTAAAATTTGGTCCTATCATTCCTTACCGGGGCATAACGATGCCGTCATTGTTTAAATTATGTTTTATTAAATATATTTTTGTATTTGATAACAAATAGCAATGTGTCAGAGATTTTTTACGATATTGAAATTTTAACGGTTAGGAACCGTTGTTAAAAAATATGCTTGAAATATCAATATTTTGCCAAAAATTGTAATACATTATTACGTGTAGATAGCTTCGACGTCTAAAATATAGGTGTATGAACCATTGTACCTACTATGTAGACACATGAGGGCACACAGCAAGTACACACCTAACGATGTGATATTGTTATGGGTAATTATCTAATGGTTTTATTTTGTGAAAAATATCAAAATACATACCTATACATACTTACATAAAATCTATAAACTATATAATCTATGTATGTACTTATCTCTGAAAGAGAACAGAATTATTTATTGTTATACACTTACCATTGAATTAAGTGAAATTTTAAATAAAGACGGAATTATAATACTTATCCTTTATTTTTCCCCATTAAATACAGGGAATTTTTTTTGTTGATGGATGCAAATGGTATGATAACCCCGCCTGCGCTAACGGGATACGCTGGCGGAGCACCAGTGAACGGTTATCGATGAGAATGAAAACAGGCCAGTTAGCCTATCACGATGACTTCATCAGGAATTAACCATGATAGTTTCCAGGGGTGGAGGTCGGAACCGCGAGGTGTTTGGGGATATTGCTAGCAATAGGATTTTCAATCTCCATTACTAACAATCCCTTCACACTTAACAGTTTTTTTTTAATATCCACTACAGGGAATATTAAAAAAAAAACTGAAATCCATATTATTTTTAAGACCTCAACCCATTAATATCCTACTGTTGGGAATGAATCTTATGAAAAGCTTCTTAAGGTTAAGTACATATTAAGTGGAAGGTATATTTGAAATGGATGACGAGATGACCGCCTATGCTATCTATATTCACAGCCTGGGCATGAATAAGGGATGACAGGTGAGAATGAATGCAGGTAAGTTAGCCCATCGTAACGAATTCAGAAATTAACCATGATAGTGTCCAGGAAGAACCGCGTGGAGGCTCTATCTGAAAAGGCTATCGCTAACAATGGCGATGTTAGAGCCCATTATTAACAATCACTTTTTTCCTCGCACGATGCGCTCTGCGCGATGGAAGGTATATTAAGACGGTAGAACTTGCAACCAAAGTACTAGTCGAACTTTGGTTCGACTTATAGAAAACAAAAAATATTAAATTCTGACATTTGATTTTTTAGAATGGCAAACAAGATGACGACACCTGATGGAAGATGGTAATTGTCGCCTGTAGATATGAACATCACAAGATACACTGTGACTCCCCTGAATAAATCTATCCAAATTATTTATAGTTTACTAATTGAAGCCAGCGGTACGTTCGCGCGGAAACCAGTAGTTTATGCGTTAAAGAATAACAAACATCAATACATTTATCCATCTTTACAAACTTTCGTATTTATTACATATTCAGGTATTCTGTAAATATGGATTTATAATTAATACTTATTTTTTGATATATGCAAATGGAAGAAGTCCAGTTTCATTTACTGCTGGAAGTTAAATCTAACATTATTTTAGTGGAAACTTGCATAATCAAGTGCTATAATTAGACAATTTCGTTGTTCGTCCAGTAGTTGCATGCCACTATCAAGCTTTTGTTAAAGAAAATTAGCATTGGATTTCGGTTTACCTGATTACATTTATTAGTAAGTAGAGAATAACAAAAAGGTTTATTATAAAAGTACAGTGGTAATATCTTTATATACTTTATAAGGTTATTACGACTATATTCCACTTTTAAGTAATAAGCTTTGTTTTTGGAAATTTTTATTATTAAAAACAAATAAAAGACAATATGTTCAACAATTTATTGTTGTTAATACACAAAGATCACAGATCTTTGCATTTTCAATACCATTTACAGTATTTTGGCATATCATATATATTAATACACACAATTGCTTAGGAAATGCGTGTAAGTTTTAAGCCTAAGATCATTGATATCTAGATAGTTACTTACAATTGCTTCGAAAAGCGTCCCTTTTAAATTATATTAATTGTGTAATTAGGGACTTTTCTCATGCAAATCAATATACGTTTTATTTTTATTTATTATACTATATTTTCAATTTTACAAAATCTGACAAGATTTTAGACACTTTAATAGTATGAAAAACGATATGTTAGCCAATAGTTGGTTGACCGTTCTGATACTTGACTTTCTAAATGTGTATGATCTTAGGTTTAAATAGCCAATTCGTGGGTTGCTGTTGTTGTAATTTGTTATTACATTTGTGTAGTCGCGTCAAGCGAGTATCTAAGAGCATCGATGCCTTGTAGTTTATTATATCAATTTGTTGACCCCAAAGGTCGAAATATGACAACAAAATTTGAGCTTCTAATGTGCGTTAAGTTGTGAAGTTATTACGGGATGCTTTTTTAAAAATTCTAGTGGGATGCTAATTACTTTCACGTAAATGTAAACTGTTGACAGCCACTTGGAAGTGGGCAGTAGACAACTACAAACAAATTAGCAACAATTCAGCAGCATAATCTTACAGCATTTGATTGGTACAGATATAAAAATCTAACAGGATTACATAAAATTTTCTGATATTGCATTAAAATAATTTACAAATTTCGTCAATAGATTATAATATGATTACAGCTATAAAATAATATATTTTGCAATTGCTATTCGAGATACGTGATAATTCTATACAGTTTAATGTAATTCTCAGAGGCTTTCATAGTAATTAATGTTACCCCTAAATGTTTGAAATTGTTTCATTATTTAAAAAATAATACGTCAATACTTTTCGGTACTTATGCAAAGTACCACACCAACACTTGTGATGACCTATGGAACCAAAAACATGGTCCTAGACGGTTGTCCATATGGAAATGTTTAAAATTACTCAGCGAGCTATGGAGAAAAATTAGATGACAGGAGGTCAATTCTCGTGCATTTGAATGAATTACGAATTCGAGCAAAAAAATAGATTTCGAACATTTTTCGAGTGATAATCAAACTACATTATACTGGATACGTCGATTCCGACATTTCTCGAGGCAAAGCCGATCGTGTTGCTTCAAGTGGTCTTAAGCATTCGAGACAAATAATGTAATAAAGAATTCACGTTGCAACGCGTAGTAGGATCATTATTTATATAAAATGACAACATTTTACTTTTTGATTCGAGATTGTTTCAAAATATATTTTGATTCGTGCTCAGAATATGTGATTCGAGAAAATGACTTCGAATTTCGAGGTTTTATAGTAGAGAAAGGATTTAAATCATTGTCTCTATTTCGAGAATAGTCGGAAGGAACGAGAATTGGCCTCTAGAATCCGAAATTAGGACATCCGCAATAAGTAAGTGAGAAGTACACAATATGATTTTTTTAAGTAGTACTTAAAAAGCATTTTAAGCAAATAATTGATCAGTTAAATTGGCTGAAACTTTATGATTCTATATATCATATTTTAACTCATAGGATATTTTATATACAGACTCACGCGGGCAGCGCCGCGGCAAACAGCTAGTTATAATATTATATAATAATATTAATGAATCAGTTTCCGCACAAATTAGAAAAAAGTATTGCATAATACTGCACGGTCCAAATAACAGTGAATGGACTTGATTTGTTAGAGAATAATTCTATTATTTAGCGTTCAATTGTTATATTTTCGGTTCAGAGAGTAAAAATTGTATTATTATGATACCGACTAGAAATTTGAGAGTACAAAATATGTAAAATAAAAAATATTGAAAATTCTAAAATATACAAATATGTAAATGGGTGGGATATTTTCTAGACCAAAATACATTATAAATGGCATGAATTGACTCAGGTTCGCTTTGCTTTTGAAGGCATTATTATACAAGTATTATAATATTCTATAGTGTGATAGAAATTTAAATAACTACAACAAACTTAAAATCTAAGGTGTGGTTTATTCTTCCTCATATGCCTGAAAACAAAAAATGACACTTTACTAAAAACTCTTATCTATGGAAAACTATTTAGCTGATAACGTTATCAATAAATAACATAGGCTATATATTATCTTCGAAAATTCTGTCTACTTATGCAAAGCTGGGCTAGATAGTTAGTTTTTATGAATAAAATAATAATGTTTGTGATAATATTTTGAGATGTAATAAAACTTTTTGATCAAAATTCAAAACTACTGTAAAATAAAAATCTTACTTGTCCAGTGTTTCCCAAAATCCAAGTAACACGGCGCGGTCAAGATGCCGTTTGGTACGACTTAGATTGAGTACGGTGACTGCCCAGCGTGCCACGTTCGTGTCCAGCTTCATCTCATCGAATTTCAGGTGAAACGCACAAACTAAAATTTTAAGTACATATTCGTATTTATTTTCGAATGTTTTAACAATCATTGATTGTTAAGAATATTTTTTAATCAAAGGCAAATTACAGCTATGTTTGTTACATTTAAAAATATCTTTTCTATACAACTACCACACCAAGGTGCTTAATAGATTTAAGGCACTTTCGATAATTATATACTTATTAATATAAATCATAATAGACACTTACTGTTGGCGAAAATTTGCACAGGATTGCCATCCCATGGCCAGCCTTTGAATTGCCAAGCTGGTCCTTGCACAAATACGGCAACAACTCTATCCCATTCTGCTGCTGAGAGTCTTGCTGGGTTGTCTACTACACGATATGGTACCTATAATAAAAAAAAGAAAATATAATATTTGCATTGGTATGTCAGCCGCACTCATGTTCTGCCACTAAGCTGTTGTGGTTGCACGACTGTTTTAAAGGTTGGTAAATGGCAGTGAAATTACAGAGTATGGTGTCATAATACTATAGTTCTTAGGAATGGCAACCTATATATATTATCGGCGTTATAGTATAATTTGTAATATATATCTATTGTTGCTGATCTGTAAATAATGATTATATGAGCAGTGGGCTTCTTTGTCATTCCATAAGAAACGGTAAAATATACACATCGGTAAAAATATGTAATTATTTGAATGACTATCAATGGTTGCCTAAATACATCAGAGGTCATTGCAAAAGTAGCAGTGGGAAGAATAGAATTTCAATTGTATAGATTTTAATCATCAGTGAAATTATTACATAAAAAGAGTAATAGTATACAAACCGTAATAGTAGTTGCATTAGTGGGCATTTGTTCTCCAGATGGCCCTTTCCTCCTTTGCAAAAGTACTTCATTCTCACGTACTGCTCCTTCCGATTTCTTCTGTTCAACTGGTACAAACCTAAAAACATAAATGTTGATTACAATTTTTTTAATTACGCAATCTAAAGGACTGTGAATAGTTATATGGTCCTGGCATAGAATGGGCTACCCATTTCTTCCCCGTGAGTGTCGTAAGAGACGACTAAGGGAATTTATTGGTCAAGAAATTGCAGTATTCCTCTTAAAACATCACCAAAGTCTAATTGCGGTTGTCAACCTACCTGCCAAGCAAAGAAATTATTGGCATGACGCCCTAAAGGGGAGGCCTAAGTTCAGAAGTGGACAGTTAAGGAGGTGATGATGATAAATCTAAAGGATTGAATGGAGACAATTTGTAGAATTTAAAATAAAGTTATTTAAAAATATTAATATTTCCATATTTTTAATTAACAAAATTATCCCAGGAAAAATTTGGATTGAAAATTGAATACTTCCCTTAAATATTATTTATAAATAGAACAGGACATGCATTAATTTTTTATAGATGTGTACTATCACTTACTTGAAATCTTGCAGCATTTCCTTTACATTGTACATAGATATAAGAGATGTGGCTGCAGCTGGTATTATGATGATGGGTGTTCGTGAGGGCCGCTTACCACCTGGTGGTGGCCTTGCTGCTGTTACAGGTAACAATTCTCTTCTGCCAGGAGTACTAGGTACTGGTCCATTTTCTAAAACAAAAAAAAAATAAAGTTTAGCAAAGTAAAAATTTGATAGTGAATTTATTATTTTACAATTAATACAGATTTGAAGAAATCTTAAATAATTTTTACATATTAGATATGCTTGTGAATGATTGAGATAACTCAATAAATATTTGTTTAAGGTTTGATAAACTTACGTGGCATCTGGCGGGGATGATTAGGAGTTTGTGGAGCACGAGCCGCAACTGGCACACTTGGACCTTCCGTCACTGACTTTAATGTCATACCGTGATAGGTACCAGTGGTGTCAATTTTGAATCCCTCCGTTTCTGCACATAAAATAAAACAAGTCATGAATGTCATTATTATAATCTTCATATATTTCATTGATGTTTGTGTGTAGTGGACACCCACCTTCTTTTTGCCTAATAAACCTTTCCTGATCGTATCTGTTATATTGAGTTTGTTGAGTGGGCAAAATTGTAGGTGGCGGCATAACAACTGGTTGAGGCCTTGGTACTCCCGGCCTGCCTTCTTCTCTAGCTCTAATGCTACCTAAAAGAGCTAATATGCTCTTAGCAAACATCTGTAACAAGTAAAAAAAAATTTCACTGCACTTCAATGTTTAACAAAATTTATTATAATATTTTTGTTTTGTTAATTACAGCAAATTTTACAACCGTGTCTGCTTTATAACAGACAAGTAGTACAAGTAGATCACATAAGTACAAAATTGCACCACTATAGAATTAAGTGTACCTAATGTTACAATCAATGTGACATAATATAAACATAGTAGGCTTTGATTATTCAGAAATAAATTAATGAAATCCATAATGAATACATATTTTTTTCCAGTTTAACAAAAACTCTGCACCACTTATTCAAAGCGTATAAAAGTGAAATTTCATTTATATGTGATAAGGTTGATTTATCAACTACAAGTTTGCAAGACATCTTTACTTACTTTGCCATTACTCTGTAATACTGTAGTTCTAGTTCTCCACTGTCTCTCACGACTGATAATGTCTTTGGTGAGATCCACATCATAGTCTAAAATTGCTCGTAAATCAGATCCAACAACCCCAAGTGTGTCTGAGTAATCATTACTTTTAATAGTAGTTCTTTTTTTAGCCAAGCGTTTTGCCTTAATTGCTGCAATTTTCTCAACTGACATCGCCTCCGATAGAGACCTAAGAAAAAACAAAATTGAATAAATGTTTATATATAATTAACTTTCAATTCACATTATTTCAAAATCTAATGAAACAAAATATGTGCTGGATTACATTTACTTTGGTTTTACAAAGGCAGTCAAAATATAATTCAATTACAATAAATACACAAATAATGATTCAATTTGTAAAAATGACTAATTTATATACTTAAAGATATGTAGATAATAATACTTACTTGATGTTGTCAACAGTAACAGATGCTTCCTTTGGTGCATCAAGACGAGCAGCAAGCTGTTCTCTGACTTTTTGAACATGCGTTTCCTCAATACGAGGCTTCTTTGCTGCAGATTCACCCCCATCATGGTCATGTGTTCGTTTCACCTACATAATAAAATTCAATAACAATTATATACTGTATATATCTAAATAATAGTGATTTTAGAAAAATATATAATTAAAATACACCCATCTGACAGTGGGTTGCTGTGTGGTCCCGGTAATTAACAGGTCACCCCTTCCTTTCCCGCGGGTGTCGTACGAATCGATTAAGGGAGGGCAAGGGATGGGCAGCAGCATCCCTCTTAAAACATTTTTTAAGACTAACTACGGTTACCAACCCACTTGCCAAGCGTGGCAACTACTGGCAAAACCCTCAAGGGTATTCAGCAGTGGGCAGTTAAAGGCTGATAATATAATTAAATTTTGTTCCACAATAAACTGAATCAGTTATATTGATTTAAAAAAAATTCAAATTGGTTTACGATTGACGAAGGTAAGAGTTAACAATTGTTTACTATAAAAATATATTTCAATATATTTTGAAATATATATACAGTGGATTTCATTTATTACGACCTTGGTTGTAGCGACCATATACCTATAGCGACGTTAAATCTAAGTCCCTTGAATTTAAGGCATGCTTTAGTACAAAATTTATGTGACTATAGCGACTTTGGATATAACGCCGAGTTCGGGTGCAGCGACTGTTTTTAATGCATCTATTATAACAAATACCTAGAAATCACATGCAGATATTGCGATCGAAGTTGGCCGCCAAAGAGACACCAAGATTTCTTTCTTCCACAAACATCTCTAACCTTTTGTTTATATCAACATAGATGGTCAGCAAGTATGAAGACTTTTACCTATTGTTTATAGATATCAACTAAATAGGTAGAGAAGCGTGTACGTTTTGGAGTTGAACTTATGGTTCAGTTACAAAGTGATATTCTGAGTAGCAAATGAGTTTAGTAAACTTTTGAATAAGTATGATTGCCTCGACGCACATTCACCGTTAAAGAAAAGGCGGAATTAAAATTGAAAAACGGTGAAAACAATACTGATTTGTGCGAAGAAAAAACTATACATGTGTACATGTCTGTATCTCTTTACCTTTGCCCCTTCATCGTCGTTATACCCGAAATTCACTGTATATTGAATTATATTTTTATAATAAACATATCCTATACTCTTCATATATTAATTTTTAATTTGACAATTAAATTTTTTCTTGTTTTAACTTCATTGAAAGTCACACATAGAGACTCTGGTAGATAATTTATATATCGACATTTGGGGATACTAAAAGTAAATAAAATGTAGCGTCAATGAAACACCCAAAGGAAAAAAAGATATTTGTTTGTTTAATTCCTTAACTATTCCCTAACTATATTCTAAAAACCAATGGTTTTGCCAAAGTAAGGTTATAGAGCCAACTTAATCAAATATTTAACAACATTTGCGGAAGTATGTTTTTATAACATTTGAAGTAGGGTAACACCCAAAACGTTATAAGTATTACCTATGATCGCCTACGATACCAAGGGACACCGCACATACTGCTGTTCTTTTTGAGGTCCTTTTGTAAAGAATTATTAAAAAAGAATGTTAATAAGATCATAGTATTATAAAAGATTTTGAGAATATCTTGGAAAGAAGATCATTCCATAATCAGAGCGTTCATCGGAAAAAAAAATTCAGAAATTGCCAACTATTTACATTCTATGGTATTAGAATGTATGAGTAGTGTTATAGTAGAATATGGCAGTGAAGATCACTGTGTTGTATATAAAACACATCCCATTTGGTATCCAGACGCTTGTATTCGAAGATAAAAGTAGTACCATATGGGATAAGATATGTGAATTGTAAAGTGAAGGGATGCATTACCCTATTGAGTACACACTCACATTTCAAATTATTTTGAAACTAGATTTTGCTTGTGATGGCAAGATCAAAGATCCAATGGCTTTCAGAGAGAATAAGAAATTATTCTGGAATTGTTCTACATTGTTTGACTTTCTTGTCAAATATCAACCAGAAGGCAATAAAACTACACAGAACATTGATTTTGGTAGAGCTTGATATGCCATGCTAGTGGTTTAAATAATATTAAGGGAATAGTTATGATACAGCTACAATGCTCATATCTGTCAAAAAATATGAGTATGATGTTTGTTGCGAGATTACAAATTGTCTAATCCTGAACATTAGTCTCCATCAGAAGGGGGGTTTTGCCAGTAGTTGACACATTTGGCTACGGATGCAATATCACTTATAAAAAACATCGATATTAGAACATAGATATTTTGAAATGTGAAATATTGATGTTTCTGAACAATATATTGATTTGTTTTTACCACCATTCAAATATACATATATCTGATGCATATGTTGAATAAATATGCCGTTTTAACAGAAATGAAATAACTATATTAATAAAATCATAATTATATTATTTTTTGAACTTTTATACTATTTTATTTTAACATTTTTATTGAATATTTATTAATTTTTAACAGGAAACAAGTATTAATCAAACATTTTTTATTTTTTTAAAAGAAAGTTTAAAAATGACAATTTTGACAACCTGGTGCCTAGTAAGTGGTTTCTCTTCTGGATGATTGTCACAACTTTTTCTGAGAATAACCCCTCACTGGGTACCGAAGATGCTACAGTAGGCAAATACATTATAATTAGACTATGGAGCCCAGGAAATAATCCTTCCATATCATCCAACATCTCCCTTTATTGGAGTGACAGGTGATGACATGTTTAAAACTCAAGGCTCTATCTATATAATCTAAATCTGAGCATACAGAACCTTTAAATAAAATTTTATCTTTTAAATTTATTTAGTAAACTAAAACAATGAACTTCCTACTTACTTTGGAATAAGTACACAGTTGAGGTTACCTATCATATTATAATAATTTTATTTTATTCTATTATTTAATATCTGTTTATGCCTATAGATGTAGATCACAGACAGAATGGAAAATGACACTATGATTAAAAATAGTTCATATAACATCACTCATGAAGAATAATGTAACATTGATGTTTATGAACGATATATTGATGTTTGAAAAATTGATGTATTGTTTGCATCCTTACACTTGGCAGGCAGATTGGCAATCAAAGTTAAGCTTTGGTGATGTTTAAAGAGGGACACTACTGATCATCCCATGACCATTAACCTTCCGACTGCATATTTTTTTTATACCAATAAAATACATCATTTTTAAGATATATAGCAATATGAGGATTTAGCCATCTAATGAGATTCTGAATAATAATATTAATCTACCAAAACAAAAATCACAGGATAACAACATCAATAAATATAAAAAAATGTGAGCACATCAAATAGTAGAATGTGTAAAATTAAACTAGTAAATACTGCAAGGGGGAAATCGTAGGATGCCCTGTCAGATGGTTAAGTCCCCTCTTACACCACCCATGGGAAAAGAAGGGCCGGTCCATTCTATGCCAAAATCATAGTGTGCTGTGATTATGATGATACACTTGACGTTAACATTTAATTTGTAGTCTTAGGTTTAAATTACATACCTGTGTTGGAATTTCAAGTGGCGCACTTTTGTCTATAGAAGCACAGGTGGCTGTTTCTCCATTTAGATAAGCCAACAGTTCCTTACGATCCGGTCGTCTCACAGGTGGTATATTAGCAGCCTACAGAAATATAACTGTTATTACAATACGTTTGCAATTTCATAATAATTAAATTAACTAAAACTTTTACTTACAGCTGCTTGCCTAACATACACTGGATGCGTCAAATGTATGTTCTTAAGAATAAATAGAAGACATTCCAGTGTATAGTATTCCTTATTGTGAGATGCGTCTTTACCAGACCTAAAAGTAAATAAAAATTGTGACATGACTTCAACATGAATACGACACGAGGGCATTTTTGGTTAGGTACTGAAACACTTACCCCCACATAAGATAGTTGGTCTTGACATTTTTAGGCCATGAAAATTCACCGAATATAATTTGATTATCACGCTCTATTATTTCTTTTTTATTTACATTATATTGGCGAAGTAAACTCAATGGGTCCGCCATGATTACGTTGTATCAATGTCGTTTTTACCACGTTTAGCTAAGAGTTTATGCAATCATTTTAAAACACACATGAATAGCACTGTAAATCCATTTTCAAAATAACCAAATAGATTTTCAATCTGTAAAATTTTGTTAATTATTAAAAACTGCTGGTTAGAATAATATGAAGCAAACTCCGCAAGAGATAAGTATAGACTAACAAAATAAAACATTCAGAAATTAAATTCTATAATGACACTGACATCTGACAGTTCGACTCTAAAGATAGACTTAAATATCTAAAAGATCCTTACATTATCTTTGGCCAGATTGTATTACAATATAATAATTACATAATAACTATAGATTCAATTAGCCGTTAAAGTTAGTTTTATTAAATAATATAAGTAATAATAGAATTCTGATTTTCGTCATTTGAGAACTACATTTTACATTGTGACAATACATTCTTAAACCATAGATTAAGTACAATATTCACTTTTAACAAGAACAATAAACGTAATACATGTAAAACGATTATTTTCTAATAGCTGGGTTGATTAAATCATAGAAATGTATTTTTCTGCGATAAATATTTGCAATCTACAAAATTAACAAAATGAAAACAAATATTTTGACCACTTTAGAACAAGAACTAGATAACTATAATTCTACTCCAAAATCTTTGATTTCGATCTAGGTGTTGTAAGACTTTTACATTTCGTTGTACGTTGTGTTTACCATCTTAACCATTTAACCAACAGATGGCGGTAATTGCATCAAATTGATCAAATTCAACAATTTTGCAAATTGTTTTTAAACATGGCTGCCGGTTTCGTCTTCTTTTACTGATAGAAATTTCTAGTTCAATTCCATTTTAAATCGAACATATTAATGAAATTGATTAATCGGCTAATGTGATAATATGTCATAGCGCCGAAAGCTTGGTTACACAATGATTTCTACTCCAAAGACTGAGAAATGCGGACAAGGTAAGTAGCCATAACATTTAGCTTTTCATCTTTGTAATCAATTTCATTATGATAATCTAGATAGTAATATTTATTTTTTGATACAAGTCAATTCAATAAATACGCTTTTTTATATCTTCATTGTACCTTGTAGGACATTTGATGTTATTCGAAGAAACAAATAATAGATATTCAATAATTACAATATTTTTTTTAAAAAAACATTACTTATTATTAATATTAGTTTTGTCATTATAATAAATTAAGAACAAAGTTGGTGTCTTGACTATTGTTATATGTTTAATTTTTGTGATCTATGTGTATGTTTTTGTAGTACTTGTGTATCTTTTCATCTACTTTTAATCAGGGTTCACAGGTTTTAGCTATTTAGCTTTTAATTTAATCTTCTAATTTCATAATATTTCTATGTTCAAATATATTTGATACCTACTGATTAATTCCATAAAAAACCAAGATATCATTCTAAAGTTTACATTTGTTAAATAAGTAACTACTTTGTAGTTTAAACTACTTATTGAATGTTTAACATACACATATTAATTAGCATATTGACAGGCTTGAACTAGATGAAGGAATTATTAGTAATGAGTATGCTGGTTTATATTGTTACGAATATACCTCATTAGGTAGAGTTTATAGTTCTTATGGAAATCATCATTGCTAATTCCTTGTAAACTTGTCCAATAGGCTTCATCTTCATTGTTTAATCCTCCATTAGTACATTATTTAAAAAAGAAAAGCTATATCGCCACTTTGTGAGATTCATCAAATTATTAGTTTATGTGATTGATTAAATTATATAAGTACATTTACACAAATTAGTATTTTTGCAACACATCATGCTGAGTAAATACTTTTATGTTTTAAGAATACAAATACAATGTTTACCTAAAAACATTGTAAATGCTACCTTTGTGTGGAGCAATTTAAATAAAATAACTAATAATTTTTCTGTAGTTGTTATTCTATTAGTATAATATAATTTTGTCTATAGATGTTTTGTGGAATGATAACTGTTAAATAAAAAATATTTAAAATTAAGTCAATGAAAATATTAAAAATAATTCATTTCAAAATTGTGCTAAGTTACATGTTTTCTCTACCACATTTACCCATTTTCAACATTTCAGAAAAAATAGTAAAGATATTTAGGAAGCAATGACACTGTGACACATAGACTGAGTATTAAAATTTAATTACATACATTAAGCAGTGAAGTGAAATATACATATATATCTGTCATGTGTCTGTCATTAGTAAACTATAATCAACAATAAATAGGTAGTAATTATTTTATGTGGTTTGTTATAATTAATAAATAGATACTATATTTTAAATAATATTCAATGTACCTAGTCTATAAAACATTCTTCACTTCATCAGTCAGTTTTGTCAATATTGAAAGAGCTATTATTTATAGAAGAATCAATTGAACAATCCTTAATAGATATTAAATCAATATGGAATTGTAAAATTGTTATTACATATAAAGTATGCTATCACTTTTTGTATTAGTCACATGTTTTTCCAGAATGACACATAGGTATTGAACACTGATATAGGTACTTACTCCCAAAATAAACAACACACACAATTATCGATACCTATATATATTAGAAATGCCATATTTAACATAAGTATTTACTTTATATTGCCACATTTAAAAAAACTATGATTCTCTTATATGAATGCTTTCATAAATTTTTTGCTTACTATTTATAACTGTTGAAACTATTTTCTCCTCTTTAGTTTGTTGATACTAGATATAAAACCAGTAATTATTACAGCTGATTAGCATTGAAAGCATCAAATACTGAAGACAAATTTATATATTTTAATAATATTTATATGTTTAACTAGTTTTTTGCCTGTTACTTTGTACATGTGGAATTCACAAGTAGGAAAACCTATGTAATTTGCCACTTTTAGGTGGCAAAGTATGATAAAACATGTATAGATTTTAACTTTAGGAATACAACTGTGAAAACCACATTAAATTTGGTGTAGTAGTTTTTGTGGGATACAAGAAGAAACACACAGACAGATAGTTAAAATAAAAAAAAAAATCTTTTGGTTCTGTTGTCCTTATTAAGAGCTCTCATATAAATTTTTCTTAAATATTTCCAATGAACTGACAATGCCTAGATATTTGAATCATCAAAGTGTTTTATCTCTAAAATAGTGTAAGTTCGTTTTGTATCATAATCAATAGTGTAGTTTCAAAGTAAGCGGATTAATTTTAAAATGCACTACTGATTATGATACGGGTTTTCCTGTTATTTTTTTACGAAATATCCTAAATAAAATTTTGTATAAATAGATAGGTAAATTCAATAGTAATTTGCACTCTTGTGAAGCTGGGACGAGTCCCTAGTTTGTTATACGTTGACAATTACTGATCAATATTAGTTTTGTTACAATTTGAAGATGCTGTTTTTCTGTTCTTGTTATCCCGCCATATCATTTATTCCGAACATTTTTGAAGAAATTGTCATGCTATTTTTTATTTTATTTTATTGTGTTGATCCTATAAACTTTTTTGAATTCTGTGTAGAATTTCCTAGTTGAGATTTTTCTGGAGTCTAAATAGACTTGCGTTTATTAGGAGAAAATTGGCATTCAAAGTAGGTTCCATACAGTAATCATACGACATCTATTCAAAGTTATGACTGTGCTAGCTATGGCCCTTCATTTTACTTTCACTTACGCATGAGAAAATAAAATACTTGTTTACGGATATCGAACATCTAAGCGGTCTATGATTACATATAAGAATGTTTTAATTAAGACGTATCTACGTTGTAAAAATAATAATATTAATACTGATTATTAATTTTTCTTTGAGGTTTCTTAATAATAAGGAGTTTTAAAAAAAAATTTTACTCTTCATTTTATTTGTATATACGGGTAATAAGTATCGAGCGTTGTTGCAAATTTGCAGTTGTAATTGCAATTACTCATATTAATTTCCGTCTACGAAAATACTCATACGTGTATTAGATAATACTTATTGTAAGTAAGTATAGAAAGCGTATTTAAATCTAATTGTTTCAAGTTATTTCATGGAATAATAGTGTCTATGTCTGACATGAATCATAATTCATGTGTTATTTAATACTTCCTACCGTTGGTACCTAATACGATAAATGACAATGTGAAAGTTTAAATGATGAAGATCGTTTAAATGTGGAATCTTAATAATAAAACCGTATATAAAAATTGTGATTTAAAACTGCTTACACAATCTCTTTAAATATTAGAATATATTTTTATATAACAAACAGTTCACTATGGCTTTTGTCCGCATAAAATAAGGTATATACTTACGTTAATTCAAATATGATTCATCTATAGGTATGTAAAATTTCATTTAATGTTAAATCGTTTAAATATAATTAAGTAAGAAATATCCCAACAGTTTACAAACTTTGATATGATATTACAATAATATTAGTAAAATTAATATGAATGACCTTTGCACATAATAAACCATATCCTGGAGTAAAAGTTCTGTGGATATACCTGTAATAATTTTACTCCTTACGAACGAAATCGTGAGGCATTCCTAATTTACTAACATATACTCGTATTATAAAGCGGTAAAACTTGTTTATATACGTATGGAGAAACTAGAGGATAATCTCTGGAACTACTGAACTAAATTGGGCGTTTTTGTAATTTACCGCAGAAAAACAGGTGTACTAATTTTTTTCTTTTTTTGTACATTTGTAAATATATATAGGATATTGTTATTGAGGCTATCAATATATAATGGCAGTTAGTTACCTATGGCAATTGCTGAATCTCCAGTACCGATCTACAGCTCTGTAACGGTACTGTGCTCGCTAGAGTCTCGTGGCCGCAACACGACGACATGCTATGTAATGTATAAATCTTCATAATGATTTTAAATGTACCTATATATATAGACATTTTTGTACGAAAGTGGCCGTGAAATGGGAACTATAATAGGCTTGAAATTAATATTCGTATAAAAGAAGTAAGGAATATATTAGATTTCTAATAAACTGTATCATTTTCTAATATATTACTTTCCAGATTTAAGTATCGACCATTTGTACTATCGTTTTTTAGAGTTTGCTTTGCAACAAAGTTTTTTGTTCTGTGAAGAAAGTCGGTAGTTTAGTCGTTACAAAATTAATGTGGGATCAGTACAGGAGTAAACCTTGTAAAAATTACAAACATTATATTGTTTTTTCTTGGGGAAAGACGTT